AGCTTTCAATTAAAATCAGCTGTGCTGGAGCAGGGAAATCTGCAGGACTTTGGAGATAGCTGTTCTAAACAGTACCACTCTACACCAGGAAGTAACACATGAGCCTCGAGGCAGGCCATCAGATCCTATTTATTTCAGTGCAAAGTTTTTTTTTTTTATTATTGGAATAAAATCACCAAACTGGCAATAAAAACTTAAAATACAACACAATGTCTCTATGCTATCGCTATGACTGCCCTGGGTCACTACCAAAACAAAACAGGGAGGGGAGGGGGACAGACAGGGACAGTAAAAAGGGACGATGTTTCTAAGCGTGAAGAAATGTACAGGGCCGTGAGTAGCGAAGAAACAGGGAGCAATTCTTTCGGGATGGAAGAAGGAAACAGTGAAAATTAAGAAGATTGGAAGAGACCAGAAACTGAGAAAAAGCTTAAAGAGCAGAGATCAGTTGAAGGGGAGCCCAGTTCAGAACAGTCAAGTGATGAACAATCTAGAAATTCCACAGGAAAACTAAATGATTACAAAGTCATATTCAAACTAGTCAATCAGGGAGACTACTTTGCAGATTGGAATCAGATTCAGTTAACAAAATCGATAAACTACTTGTAGGGGAAGTCTGAAGTGCCAGAATACTGAATAGTGGAGACCTGTTAATAAACTGCAGAGACAGTCTCAACAAGGCAAAGCTATATGCATTAACAAGATGAGGGAAAAGAGTTCAGTGCAGCTTGGTGGAGAACAAAATGATTAGCACGGGAATCATTGTTCCTCTAGAAGTAACTGATAAAGACATTCTAGAAAACATAAGCGGTGCAAAAGTAAAAGAAGTGAAACAGTTCAAAACAACCAGAAATGGAGAAAGGTGTGACAGCTTATCTGTGTTAATTAAATTTGAAGAACATTTATCATATAAGGTTTTCATTGGTTATATGAGCTGCAATGTCAAAATGTACAATCATCCACCTCTGAGATGTTTTCAATGTCAAAAATTTGGTCATACAGCAGCAGTATATAAGGGAAAAAAACGATGCGGACGGTGTGCTGGAGAGCATGAATATGGAAAATATGGGAAAGGAGAAAAAAATTAAACGCTGTAACTGTGGTGGAGAACAGACTGCTGCAGATCATGGATGTGAAGTGAGCAAAAGGTCTGATGAAATAAGAAAAGTGAAATTAGAGCTTGGAATAAGTTATGCTGAAGCTGCAAAAAGGATCCCCTCCCAGTCAGAAACGACGAAACCAACAGTGACACAAATGACAAGTGCAAAACCTTTGGAGGACTGTCCCAAAATTGCAGAAGACTCGTTAATTGTAAAAAAGAAGGATTTTGAACTGTGGAGTAAAAGATGTTGAGGTATGTCTGTTCTTATAGCCTCACAGGCTCCAAACGAATGCATGAAGGGGAGGATTGCTGTTTTGAGAAGATCCATCTGGCCACTGAAAGATATATTAACCTAACAGGGAATGTCCTCGATGAACTCGTAGTTTTGCTTCAATGTTCAAGTTTGAGAAAGTTAATTATGCAGGGGGTGGGTTGGTTCCCCTGGGGGTAATGTGTGTCTAAATTTGTATAAATGTATGTACTGAAATGCTGCAGTCAGAGAGCCCTGTCTCTCCGTTCGAGGATGTTAAACAAATTTAAACCTTATTTTGTGCAAGAAATGCCTCTACCTCAAGCTTCCTAACTTCACAGTACTTTTCATGGTAGAAGTGATCAATCGTAGTGCTCAGACAACAAATAAAACCGAAAAAAATCTAAATAGTGAAAGACTGGCGGTGACGATAATATAACGACACATTACAAATTATGAGGACAAATTTGATTAAGCAATTATTATTTAATTACGTTGGATTAAATGAAACAGTTAGAAAAGTAATTTTTTATTGCCTGCGTCGAGGACTAAGGCCTGGGTCATGCACTCTAACCACTCGTCCACCAAAACACGCCCTGTTAAGACATCTGTACTAGTAAAAATATATTTTAGATGTCAGAAATATTTTTTTTAGATATCTGCAATGTTTTCTAGATTCTTGATATCTGAAATAAAAATAATGACCAGTAACAACTTTATTACTGAGATCTGAAATTCATTTTTAGACATCCAGGATGTTTATTTCAGATATCTGAAAGTAACTCATATGAATGGGGAAAAGTGACATAATTTGTACTAGTAAAATTACATTTCAGATATCTGACATGTTCATTTTAGATAGGAGGAATACTATTAAAGATATCTGAAATACAAACAAATATATATATAAGTAGATTTGTAGATATCTGAAATGTAGCTCGTACTAGTACAAATTGGGTCTAGAGTGCTTAGAATTGAATTTCAACTGGTAGAAATGTAATTAGTTATATCTGACTAGGAGTATTGTACTTGTGACTAGGTAGAATACTTCAGTGCTATCTATAATAGAAATGCGACTAGTCAGCCTGCCTATTTTATGTTAAAACAGAGCCTCATTATTCTGAAAGCATCTAAAACTGCATTTTAGATAGGCATTAATAAAATAGAAATATCTAGAATTCTAATTTAACTGGTCATAAAATAAGAGGTTGATATCTGTAATTATATTTCTACTGGCAGAAATATATTTTAGATGTCATTAATTGGATTTCTGGATATCTAGAATGTTATATTCATTGTTGATATCTGAAATAGTAATTTTAACTAGCAGTAACTCTATTATGGAGGTCTGAAATTAGAATTCATCCTGGTTAGAATTCATTTTTAGATAGGAAGAATGTTTATTTTAGATATGTGGAGGTAAAAGCCCAATACACATTAATGAGAAACGTGACGTCATTTGTACTAGTATGAATTACATTTCAGATATCTGAAAAGTTTATTTTGACTAGGAAGAAACGCATTTGAGAGACCGGGATTACATATTCACTCAAGCTAATAAATGCCAAAACGGCCTGCCATAATACAGCACTGGGGCTTCCTCAACAGCCGATACCACACCGTGACATCACAAACCAGTAGGTGGCAGTAGTGTTCTTTGA